GAGCAGCCTCCTTGTATTTATCCTTCACGGTACGTGGACACTTGGTCCCGATCGCCGTTGGGTGCTTATGGTACGTTTTGGGCTCGGGAAATGCAATAGCCGTACGTATGACGTCCCAATACCCCTCCTTATCCGCATATTTACGCTCCAGAGGACAGAAGAATGTGATTTGAGCTTTACATTCGATTTTGGCGAGGGGTGCAACGAACGGGTGTCCGTCTTTCGAATGATTAAAGTCTGGATTGATACACTCAGCGACAAACCAAGACAGCAGCGGGAAGCTTACCGCAATGTGTCAATGCTGCTGTCTTTGTCCGTACGCTCAGAATCCCCGCACACACTTCCTCCTCATCCTCCTCCTCAACAATCGGCTCCCCTCGTTTTGCTCGTAGGAAGAGATCCTCGTCGACCAGAATCGGGTGGGTTGAGTGGCTGAAGCTAGGTGCGAGTGGAGCATTCGCATTAGTGCACCTCAGGGCATGGTCTTTGCCGTTCGTGCGCTGAAAAGCAATCAGCATTCATCAGCAAGACAGAGCTTGGAGTCTTGGACACACCTGTGCGAGGCGTCGGACATCGCGAGCCATCTGCGCAAATGGCCCGGCATTGCAACTTCTCGATAGCACGAAGAGCACTGTATATAAACCATGTTAGCCACGCAATACAATGAAATAGAACACGCACCTTAGAACTTGTCCGACCAGGGTGTCGTCCTGGCGCTCCTGTTGACGAAGCTTTGCGTCAATGAGCTCGGTCTGAAGGTTCGGATCGAGCGCGCGTCGTGGCTTGTTGATGAACTCAGGGTTGAAAGAGGGACAAACCCACACGCCTCTGCACACGGGCGTCGCTCGCCGACAGGCAATCTTCTCATCAACGTCCCGGCCCCAGAAAAACCCCGACAGATACTTGTCGACATCGCTTTGTCTCCCGGTCGACGACGTGAAAGAATGTGCACACTGAGAAAAGCAATTAGCTTCAATTAGTTGACAGCAGTGCACTTACCAGATTACGGAAAACGTTGTCGACAGTCATGCTGGCAGGGAATTCATCTGGGACATGGATAATAAACGCGGTCGCTCTTGCTGCCTCGAAATGCGGTAGCTCGGACGGCATGCCGGGGACGCGCTCGAGTCGGAAGAACTTCTTCTGAGACGAGAGGTTGACGCCTTCGGGGAATTCGACCACCTCCGACCAGACCCCTTCGTCCAGCCATACTGTATCTGACGGTTTCCACTCGAGACGGTCAAATGGGCCAAGGTCAGTTATGTTGAGCACCCCGTGCTTTTTTGTATGTTTTTGTTTCCGTTGAGATGGCCTCGTGGTAGCGGGATGTAATGGAGCGGACTGTGGCGAAGCCTCGACCGAGATCCTACAAAATAGTCAATATGCGCTGGCAAAGAGAGAAGAACACTCACACTGGCGCTCTTAACGGCTCGTCTTCCTCAAATATGAGTGGGGTAGCGTTCCATCTGCAACAATGAATGTAAGCCAAGAACAGAAACGCATGGATAATCCGACTTACAAAGCTGCATCCTCAGGATCAAGAGCCGCCAGTCCAGGCCGTCCAAAGTCGATCGAAGCGGCTGTCGAGGAGGCGGACGACGGAGGTCTACATTCAGGCATCAGCGAAAGCAGCTTGGAATGCAAATAAAGCACATACCGCGAGCGTGGAGGGTCGTAGACATCTGTTGAAGGCGTTGACATTCGGGAAATGGGAGTCTGAGGCGTCGAGCCGGCGGAAAGAGGTATTGCACTACAGGTAACAAGTGAGATATCGTTACGCGACCAGGATTTGGAGACAAACCTGCTATATATCGTCGAGTGAGTGAAAAGACAGCTAGAGAAGATTAAAAACCACGACTCACAGCCAATCCTGCATATCCGACGCATGAATCGGTCCAGCATCGGATTCTCGACTCGTATGAAGAATGGTAGACCTGCTACCCGTCAGTTTAGTTGATAATGTGTCTATTTTAGCTTACCAGTCGCACCAGTCGTCGCTTACAACGCTCGTCGCTCGGCCTGCATGATAGCTGGAAGAAATTGAGGGGGCAGTATCACTCATGGCAGCGAGACTCACTTTTGTGGGGTGTCGACGTCAAATTTTGCCATGCCTCCGCCCAAATGGCCTATTCCGGGGTCAAAATGCGTCGACCAGTCAGGTCCGCCGGAATTTGGATTGGTCCAGACAGGTGTCGATGTCGGGGGATAAGGAAGTGACGGTGGGATTGTTGGGGCATGATTCCATCGAGGATCGTTGGCCTGAATCAAGCGCGTGGGGTATCCCGTTGCGGATGGCAGTGACATGGAAGATGATGCCATGGCGGTATCGACAGAATCTGTTGGATAGAACCTGTTCTGCGGGTCAGTATGCGGGAGAGCAATATAAACGGCCACGCACGGTGAATGACCCCTGTCCTCGCCGTTTCCGCCGCCAATTCCTCCGCTGTTCACCCACTGCTGCCCGCCGTCGTCCATTGAGGAGCCATACGCCTCCCAGAAGGAATCGTACATGCCCTATGGCGAGTCAGGCCGATGGGGGAAGGTGTTTGGAGCATGTACTCACCGCGTTTGACACGCTAGACCGGCGTCGTCGACGTTGCGAGTGGTGGGGATGGAAAGAGATGACGGAAAAGAAGCAAGCGGCGATCAGCCACGTCACGTCTGACGGACGCGTGACTGGCCATTCTGGGAAATTTCCGATGATGAGCGGAACTCACGAAAGCTGACCGTGAGCCGATGACAGCTCCGCCGACAGCCATCAACCTCACGAAAGTCGACACTCGGCAACATAGCTCACGAAAGCGCTCATCAATCTCACGAAAGCTTCCCATCAATCTCATGACAGCGTATCGCGCGCCCGCGCACGAACATTACTATTACCCGTATACCAGCCGCGGCCGATAGGTGACGGCGAGCGTGCTGCTGGTGTTGTATGTGAAGGCAGTCGTCGCAGGTAGTGTGTAGGAAGGTGGAGGGACAGAGGGAGGGTCTTGCTGGATAATGTGAGCTGTTGTATCAGGCAGAGGCAGTCGCGTACCTTTTGAGGGAATGTACCGAATCTAGACCTGCAGGGTACATCGTTCTCGATTGAATCAGTGTTGCAGCCGTGAGATCGCAGGGGTGGGATCGGTGGCTCGTGAGTATGACGCAGTGAAGGAATGAGCGCAAAGTGGAGCCGTAAATAGCTGGTAGGAAGTGGGTCAAATGGGTAGGAGGAATAATTGAGAAAGCCAACCACGCACCTGCTCGGCCCCAGTGCCGTCCGCTGCCCTTCTAACCCCGGTCCCTCAGAGTATACCCGACACAAATGCGCAGCGCGCGAATGAGTCCGCCGACTCGAATTCTTGAGAGGGCCCGAGGGTGAATTCACCAGTCAGGCCAAAGCAGCATTTTCGCGTACTCGAATAGTCCACCTGCTATGTAGTGAGCGCGGAGCTCCTAAGCACACAGGGCAACTTGAAGACTTAAGAGTAAGACGCACCGTTTGTCCTCGGCCGTCATGCAGCGCTTCAGGGAAAGCGAAATGCACCCGCCCGGGCACAGTCGAGTCCCGTCGTGCCCTCCTCCTCCTGGTCATTGTACGCGGACGACGGACATGGAGGGAGAGGACAAGCGCTGTGATTGCCAATTGGTCAGTTGACGACAGGTTTTCTCTTCTCCCGCTCACCAATCTCTCGGTCAGGCTGCTCTCTGCCTCCGCGCTCCTCATCCTCTGCCAGACCTCGAGCTGCGTACGCTGCCGACCGTTAACATTCAGCATCATTGTCGCGGGCACAAACAAGCAAGCGGGATGAAGGGAAGGTGAGCGAAATGGCACACCCTGCGCAGCGCCACCAAGTGCGTGGCCCAAAAGGACCGTCTTACCGCACCCCTTACACATACAGAGCCGCTTGGGCATCGGTCGCGTACAGCGCTGGATGCGGGCACCTCATTCGAGGTCGTCGTGGCAGCTGTGAGCGAGCGTGGGACCGCTGATCGGACATCGGCGCGAAAGTCACCGCGTGACGCAGCGATGATCCGATTTCTGGCTTTGCTCTTGACGACCACGAGCATCGAGGCAGGCGCGACGGGCCATGTGCCTGGCTGGGCGGAACAAGATTGTCGGGCGTCAAGCGTCCACCGGTTTCACCTTGAACCGGTTCTCGCACCCCCTGTTGTTGCCGGATACAGGCCAGGAGCCGCGTGTCCTGTGTAAACAAGTCAAAATGTCAGCAAGCGCGTTCGCTGGAGCGAGGTCATGGGAACGGAACCGGAACGACGGTGGGAAGCGGATCGAGCGGGGCTGGGTGGGGAGGTCCCGGGAGGGCAGCTGTCGCTGAGCGTGCTATTGTGGGGGATTGTGCCTGAAACCAAGGAATGTTCGTGGTGTTCACGGTGCGTTATCGACCAGCATGGCTGTACCGCCCATACTCACCCATTTTCGCAGGCAAAGCTTTCCTCTTTCATCTCCACAAACACCTAATCATCGTCGCCCCCGGGGTTCTGCCAGTGTACGGACGATGCAGTTATACAAGGCGCTTAGCTTGGACGACCACGACCGACGCGAAAAGTCGCTTGTCTCTCGTAAAACAAGCCCACAGGCGTTGAAGGTGTGGGGCGACTCTTCTGAATAGCTTGGGAGAACCAAAGGTGCGCTTTCATCTATGTTTTCCATGCCCAGCTCAGTTCTTGCAGAAAGCGCCAAACGAGACACTATTCCCCCATCGTTCTCCACTCCTCAAACGGTCCTCTCCACTTTCGTTTCCCGCTCTTCGTCTACACAGTCGCAACACTGACAAACGCGGCAGGCCAGTGCGCCATCCAGAAGAGGCCCGCTGCGCCATGCTGCCCGCGTCTTACAATGTGATGGCCATGTTATAAGACGCGTGGCCAATGGTGGCTGCGCCCTTCTCGTGCCTGGCGCCCCCCCCACCGCTTGCCTCAGCCATGACCTCAGCCGACTTCTTTTGGGGACATTAATCGGGTCATCGCGCGCGTGCAGAGTACTTATTGATACTAGTATGCAGGTGCGTGCCAGCTTTCTCCTTGTTTCTATCGCTGACTGAGAGACTCTGTCTAGCGTCCTCTGTCTAGCGTCCTCTTTTGGCGTCCTGTCCACACCGTCCGCCATCCGGACACGCAAATGCAAATCTCCCCACTAGCAGAACGAACAGGTATATCCCCCTCAGGCTCGCTCCAAGGAACCCTCCTCCTCCGCCTCCCGTCCTCACCAAACCTACGCCTCGCTCGCCACCAAGCCAGGGGGCCGCACACGGGGAAACTGCGCGGGCCGGGGGCGCGAGTGCTTACGCTCGAAGACACCGCACTCGGTGCAGACAATCTTCCCGACAGAGAGCCTGCTGCGACGCCACGTGTTGCTTTCCGTCGTCCAGCAGTTGAAGCAGCACGGGCGGAGCGTGGCCCGGACGGAGGGCGGGGGCGGCGCAGGCGGAGGGCAGTGGCGGCGGGTTGTCGCTGAGTGTGCCGGGCAAGTGTTGCTCCAGGAGCGGCGGCAAGTGCGCGTCAGCGTGGTTGGGTGACATGTCAAGTTGTCAACGGGTGTTGAGTCATCAAGGCGAGGGATACATACATGCTCTGAGACTGCAGTGCAAGACATGCTAGATCTGGGGAAGAGCAGAGGGAAAAAGGGAGTGTAACTTCGCAGGTATATACGCTCAGTTGGCGCGACCGCGGCCCGCGGGTACTTAATCTTTATCTTCTGATCGGAAGTTGGGAGATGCAACACCCAATCTATTGTTTCCTTTCGTTATCACTGCTATAAGTTGTCAGAGTGAGCACTATGATCTATCGGGTGCCAGTGGCTTACATCTTCCCTACCCATTGATATTGAATCTGATGTGGAGACGGACCACGTGCCGACATGTGGTCCGTGCGCGGAAAGGCGGGTAACAAAAATTTCGCATCAATCCGCGCCTTTCCTCTAAACCACGACCACGACGCCACGCGTGCTCTCCGCACAGGACCCCTGTCCCTCCCGAGCTTATCCTCAGGTTTTCCCTTACCGCCCTCCCGTCTCGCCTGTCGACTTGCCGCTCCCCGTTATCGGCACCACCAGCGGCTCTACGCCCGCTGGCCACGCTGGGCCCCGTGGCGTTGCTTCCGCTGGGCCCGACAGCGCTGCCCCGCCCCTCTGCCAGCCGGCGAGGACCCCGTGGCGGCTCGCGCTGCTGCGGGGGGACGTCGTCTGGGCCCTTGTGGCCGGCGCTCTGAGTTGTCGCTGCTGGGGGTCTCCGTGGGTGGCGCGGTGCGACGAGGCAGGGGGCGGGCGCTGCTCGGTCCGGCGGGGCTGTGCCCGGTCTGGCCCCCGGAGTACGGCCCGTCTGGGACCACAGCGCTGTCTCGCACTGTTCCTTCACTGGATCCGTGTAAGTTCGGTATTCCCGTCGATGGGCGGGCGGGCGGTGCATCTCCGCGTGGCGCACGGGGCCCCAGCGCGCGCGGCTCCGTGTACACATTTGAATTCGTCCGTCGTCGTGGCACAATTTTTCATGTTTCTTTCCCCGTCTCGGCGGGTTTCATGGTTGTAGTGTGCAGTTGGAAAAGGTGTGTCTGCCCTCTGTTGTGGACCTACTCAATGGCGCTAAGCCCCTGTCAGTGTTCCTCCAAATCGAAGCATCTTAACGTTGTCTACTGTACACTGGCAAATGAAATTCATCCTCCCCATATCTCCTGGCTGCGCCCTGGAAGTTTCTCGTGATCGCGCGGCTATGTTCTCCGGAGTATATCCCGATTTGTGCCAGTGTTGAAAAGCCGGCGACTCGAAAAACCTAAAACCTATCTCCAGTATACTCACTCAATCCGAATTGAACTTGAACGGAGGAGCTTGCCCGCGCAGCTTGCCACTGTCGTAAGAGGGAGAGGAGCGCGGCCACAGGAGGCCCAAGACGCAGGGCGTCCACCGCCGTTGGGTTGGAAGGCACTGGCAAGCATTCTGCGCGGCAACGCTTCCAGTTGATCGCTTCCCGCGGACCGTGGTCGTCGGCTGACTCATCACTCACATCTTGCTTCTCATTCTCATGGACGACCCGCCCTTCCCCCGCGAGATCGAGCTGCACATCTTCCGCGAGGCGAGTCGACAGGGTGTCTGCGTCTCGAGGGGGGAGCTCTCCTCGTCCGAGACTAACAGCATTCTCAACTCCACGTGCGCTTGGGGCGACGTCTCGGGCGCGCTGGGCCGCTGTGACACGTCAAGAGGTGTTCAGTCATCAAGGCGAGGGATACGCACATGCTCTGCGGGGCAGGACATGTTCGATCTGAGGCTAGGCCCGGGAGAGGTGGCGGTTGGCGGAGGAAGAGCAGAGGTAAGAAGCCAGCGTTCGCAGGTATATACGCTGGACAGGCGCAACCGCGGCCCGCGGCAAAGTGTCTGATCGGAAGTTGGGAGATGCAACACCCAATCTATTTCGGGCGAGCGCCCGCGTGCCGTGATAGTATTGCTATCCCAAACTCCACCCATAATCCCTGACACGAAGCTCTGCCTCCCTGTGGTCTCTGTGTCCATCACCAGCCGCGACAGCGCTAGCGCAAGGTCGTCACCGCCCTGTTCTGCGTTGGGCTGACTTGAACTTGAACGGGAAGAACCACGAGCGCGTCATACGCAGTGAGAGAATGCCGAAGAGTGAAGCGGTGCCTACTTCCTTGCCAACTTGAGTGCCCCGGGCCGCTTGGTCGCCAACGAGTTGCTCCAAACGAGCAACGGAACACCGCGCCACTTTCAAGGTCCTAGACGAGGAGAAGAAGCTCGTACAGTCCGACGCGCAGATGAAGAAGGGCGTTGGCGAGATCCGCCGCGTGTCCTCGGACTCGGTCGTGTCCGGCACTGCTTTGGGGGGGGTCCGGGCGGGAACAAGCAGCAGCCAGAGGTAGGTCGCATGAAGCGCAAGCGGGGGACTCGGAAGAAGGCCGCTGAAGAATGGGCGTGGTAAACCCAGCCCGAACTTGAATAGAACTAAGCAACTGAAGCGTCGCAGTCGCCCGCCCAGTGCTAATGACTAGATATGTTTATCAGTTTATCTCTACGCAAGGAGCACGGCAACGCACCAGTTGCCAGCCACGCACCGCAGTGAAATTCTCTCCGTTCTAGCACCGAGTCCCGAGACCCAGCAAAGCGCGGAATCCGTGACGCGGATATGTGCGGGGACCACGCACCAGTGATGAGAAGGGCCCGTGCGCGTCGGGGCCGGCCAACGGAGCGCACACCCAGCGCTCATTTGCGCGTCGTCGTGGAGCGAAAGACGGAGTGATACACATCCGTCACGGCGTTACGCCGAGCCGAGAGCCGATCAGTTGCTCACACGCTTGCTCAGCGCCTCCACGACGACGCCCAATGTAGCGCGCGCATCCAGCGCGGTACTTCACGGATGCGCAAGCGGCCTGGTATGGGTGTCTGGTGCGTGTATAGCCTTGTTTTCAGCTACAATCCGGGCTCATTCGCTGGAAGATTGCGCCAAACTCGGACTTGGCTGGGACGAGCTGTTAACGACGGAAGACAAGAGCGGGTGGCGATACCCACGGAGACTAGCCGATACGTGAACGCAGGTGCGTGGCTCACTGTCCTTGCATTTTCTCAGCATGCCGACCTGCAGCAAGTCGCGCTGTGATGACGAAAACGGGAAACGACAACGACGACCAGCTGTCAGTGGGGGTACCCTCTCCAAACCAGTGCAGATTGCTTGCGACACCTGTACTCCGGCGCTATATCATATGTGTGTGGCTTGAAGCTCTGTCGCGTGCTATCACTTGCAGACATGACGGCTGAAACAGCGGCCTCGACGCTAACTGCATATCACCACTGACTAACGCGAAAACCAGAGGGTTTGGAAGGACGATACCGGTGGGAAGTATGGACTCCAGTTGGCATGATGGTAACGAGGCGCTCGCGTAAGCCCAACATTGTTGTAGCAGAACCCTGATAACGCACCTTAATGTATCTTTCCCATCGAACAGCCGTTCTCCCCAGTTTGATATAGACAGGAGGATAAGTCAGCCAGCTGTGGATGCCGCGACAAGGCGCCCCACGGGCCACAGCCCGCCCTGTCAATAGACAAGGGCCGCAGCACCGGGTGCCGACCCCATGATGCCCAGCACATGCTAGACGATATACCTGAGCGCCGTACACCTGTTGTTTGCGCCGTCGACCCCAGGACGCACAGCCCGCAGCGGAGCGGTGGGGCACATGGACGTCGGGACGAAGAAGCGATTGACGTGGCACGTGCGGCACCGCCTGGTCCGTGCGCGCCACGTCAATCACGCAGATCTTCGCGTTCCTTCCTTCCTTTCCCCCTCCGCCCCGCCTGATACTCCGCGCCACGGTCTTGCTAACACACGGGTAACGGTGTCGCTTTCGATAGTGTGTGAGCCAACTGCGCTCGTGTTCCAGGCTGACGCGTTCCAGGCTGACGAGTACCCGCATTCTTTGTCCGGCACAACGACACCCACAATGGGCCCGCCTTTGCTGCCGGCAATGATAGCGGAGTGCCGACAAGAAGGTGTAAACGGTGCGTGGGCTGCTGCTATCCGTCCTGTCGGCGCTGCTGACAAACACTCCTCTAGCAGGGAACGCGTTTGGACTCAGAACGTGGTTCCTCGAGCTGTAGCCCACCGGCAATCAACTCAGTCACATGCATGTCATCGCGTACTGCGCCAGACGCCGCTCCGGCAGCCTCCTGGGCGGCGGCTTCGGCCGCTAGCTTATGACGAACACCTGCCAGGAACGCTTCCTTCCCTTCACTCTCGAATGGGTTGCGATAAGGATTTGGTTGCTGTGATGCACCAGACTCCCATTGCTCCGCCAGTGTTGTCCATGTTGCAATTGAGGCAGGCTCAAAGCTACTCTCCAGATCAATGTATGCTTGCCTGGTTTCGATTACGAGTGGTGCTGCCTCCTTGACCTTCTTAAGAAAGCTTGACCCTGTACTTTTTATGAATTTCATCAGGAAAACCCAAATGAACTGGCAGAGCTGGCACCAGGTCTGTCAGCTCTGCCAGTTCACCAGAAGTCGAGCTGGCGCCAATAACGCGTCGCGCGCCAGCCGCTGTCAGAACACCTTCTGCTGTCAGAATATCTCCTAGCGACAGACTTCTCCCAGAAAAACGGTCAGAATTGGATCAGAACTCTACTTATTGCAACAGAAATAGAATGTGAAATCAGATATATTTATTGTAATGTAGCCTACAACACTGTGCTGTCTACTCTGCGCCTCACCATTGATGGTCCCAGCAAGATTCGACTGTGTTCCCCCGCCCCCTCTCCCGTCACCAGATAAACCTCAAACAGCACGACTGGACAGACAATCAGCAATACACAGTCGAACACAAGGAAGACATACCATGTCGAGGGCCACCAATGCGCTCGTTGAAGGCTTCGAAACTGGAACGGTGATTAAGCAATTGTGACTGTAAATATGCGGGAAACTAACCAAAGGCGTGCCACTTTGAGTGGACTTGAGTGGCGCATCCTGCTCCAGCGCATATTGGCGGTCTGAGGTAGGCTCTGTCAGCCGCGCTCGCCGTGGGCCGTGCTGGCCGTGCAATTGTCGATTGCCACCCGTTGTTGGTGGTTCCGCGGGACATTCGAGCCCCAGCTGGCGCCGACGTGGCCCTCCCGCTGCTAAGGTTTTCGAAACGCACTGGCCATCGGGTCGGCGCGCAGCGGCCGGTGCTCCCGTATCCCGTACCTTCCACCAGAGCTGGGGACAACGGTGAGTGAAGGGAAAGGGTCTGGGGAAGAGACAAATGAAAGGTACATACCGTTCTCAGTGGGCACTCCCCTTGCCGACGTTGTCTCCGGCAGCATGACACAATCGAGCGCCCATCGTGTGTTTGGTGTGGTGAGTGCTGAGCGCGTCAGTGACAAGAGCGAGCTGGCGGTGGGGTCAACAAGGCCACGCTGGCAGCACGGAGGTCAAGGGCGGAGGGGTTGAGTGGTTGGGGGGAAGAAAGAAGACGGGTGAGCGTGACATTACAGCGTTTCCGTGACATTACAGCGTTTCCGTTGCCACATGCCCCTCCGGACTCCGGATCAGTTTCACTGTTTCACCGGTATCACTTTGCCTTTGCCAAGTGATCCCAACTGCCAGCATGCCTTCAAGTCGGGTGACTGCCGGCCCTAAAGTTCCTACACCTACAATCTCCAAAGATGTAAGTGGACTATATCAATTGGGCTAATACTACTATAAGCATGTAATTCTACCTATTTAAATCCACCTACTTACCAGTGTATTAGACAGCTGCATCATACTGGCACCAACTGGCAATATTGACAATTCTGGAGCGCACTGGCTCCAGTTGGCACAGTTCCCCAGCTCTGCCAGTGGCTTCCAGTAACTTTGGGTTTTCCTGATGTTGGGACCGGATGATCCGAGCATAAGCAAATATGACATACCAAGACCGATAATCTTCTTGTGATTTTGGTCATTGAAGAAGTCGTCGAGTGCATCGCGGCGTGAACCTGGCCCCATGTTCATAGTACTTCCAGCGAGAGGATTGGTGGCAGCCCAGACCCGTTCCGGAGCCTCACCATCGGTCATCCCCACTGACCGAGTGAGATTGAACGAGAAACGGATGTTGCACTCCTCAATATGTGCCGGGAGATGGAACTTCGGCACCAGGAAGACGAAATACCTGGTTCCATGATCAATCGAAAGCAGGTGGTTGGAATATTTTGCCATCCGTTCCCAGAGATTGATGTGCCACTGGCAGGCAATGTCGTAAGACACAAAAAAAGACACTAGGTCAGTGCCGCTAACGCTTCGGAAAAACATAAAATCCATATTGATATATCTGAATTCATGAGATCAGATAAGATGGGTTAGAAAAGTGTGAACTCACCGCTCGCCGAGCTGTAAATCGCCGACACTGAGTGACCGCTTCATATTGTGTCGCGCGCAATCAACGGCGCCAATTCCCGATGACGCAGTTCCTCGGGCTTCTCGATCCGGCTTATCAACAGCGTCATGTGCAACGCAGCGACTTTTCTGACAGCTGGTGAGTGACGAAAACTTCATTAAGCATCAGTACACACTGGCTGCCGGTCGTTCCAATGCTTTTTGACATGGGACATGTACTCTTCGACTTGACAATAAAAGGCCCATCCATGACCCAACCCGGGATCTTTGGCTTCCGATGAGACATCTTTCCGTTTCAAACGGAAATTTGCATCAATGGCCAAGAACAGTGCAAAAAGAAACCTGAGTGGTTTGTCAGATGCATGATTGACAGAAGACGTAAGCCTTTGATACCGTCTATCTTCTGGTGCCTGGTCCCAGTCAGCTGGAAGGTTTTTCCCTGGGTGCGGACAGGCAGGACAGAGGAGGGCACACTCGCCAGGCTGCGTACCAGCCACACCACTTGTAGAGTTCCCGCGGCCAGCACGCTTAAGCAGTTGAAGATTGCGCCACTGTTTCGTCATGCGGAGAAACTCGTCATAGCGATCCTGATCGATGGTTAGAACGAATTCTCATGCCGGTTGGCAACGTACCTGTGTCCCGGACAGTCCCATGTTATCCGTTTGACGTGCGAGTGAATAGTAGAAGTCGTAAGCACTGCATTTAGACTCGAGGAAGTTGAGATGGAAATGGCGTAGGACATTGATGGTTGCTGCCGTGCGTGGATTAGTCGTTGTTGCCGGATACAGGCCAGCGCGAATGAGTTGTTGGGTTGGTGTTCCATTCGTCAGACAGCCGCAAAAGTCTAATCCAATTTCGTGAATACCATTGGTGTCAATGACAAGAAAATCATCGCCAGCAGCGTGAATCGGTCGCGGACATCGATTACCATCATGCCAATGTCCCAATTGGATGCGGAGGCCGAGTGCTTTCAGTTGCCGCTTCTCAAAGAACGACCCATTCCATTGCTGATGCCCATTTCAGTTGTGTCACGCACAGTCATTGCTCTTACCTCAATTCTGTGGAACGGAAGAGCATGGTGTGCTTGCAAAACACATGCTTGGCATGACAGAGCACCACCTGACACACAATCTTGACATCGGTATTGTGCTGGGCCGACCGTACATGTGCCGCACAATAAATACTGATGTTTTCCGCGCCCTTCTCGTTGGAGCAGTTCCGACAAGAATGTGTCACGATGATAATGAACCCATTGGCGGAGTGGGTCATCCTTGAGTTGTCAGGAAACTTGGTATAACTGAGAGTGTGTAGATGACATACTGACTCGCGAAGCTCACGGGCATACTCCTGAATATCCACCTCAAATTGCACATGATCCTGGTCTTGAGAAACATGTTCGGTATCGGAAACTAGCGGTGATTCCATTGAAGCACTTGGCACTGGTCTTGAAACAGCCGACAAAGCCACAGAACCATCAGAGCGGATGTCGCTGTATTGGTGGATGACAGATTCAGAGGCAAGTGGTTGAGATGACCCAGCTGGGAGGTCAGGAAGAAGGTATGTCAGTGTCTTGTTCTTTCGACGGGGAGGCATTACGATGTAGATAAGAGACGTGGCTTGACATGCACAGCATGTCAATCATGTCTCATGTGACTGATCACCGATCGGGTAATAGGTCCGGCGGACCGGTGACAACCCTTTGTATACTTAGTCCTATACTGTAGTAGTAGTTGAGGTAAAGCCAACACAGTATAAGGTAGCTCCTGTATGTGTATTTCATTTAGGACTTTGCAACCATTAAATTGATGTGAGTGCAGCCATCAATATCAGCTCAATGTATTATAATGTGAGCTATATTTTGTATTTTGAGCTAAGCGCTTGTTATAATATTATGAGAACTTCACCATGGGAGCAACTAGACTGTTGGAGTGGACAGCCAGATGTAGAAAGTCATAGAGCCAGAGAATATTTTAATATCTTACTTTCAATCAGCTAATGTTTGCATAGATATTCTTGGTGAATAAGGCAGATCTAATTTGAATATTAGTAGCTGGGGAGAGAGGATTGGATGGGTATTGTCCTGGCCAAGTTACCTAGCCTGAACTACCTTCATGTGGGTCCATATTTTGAATCCATCACAGAGTATGGATTTCCTTATTTTAATGTGTACAGATGCTTAGAAGGGTATTTTGACAAAATCAAAAACATAGAGCATCTCTATAAAAGTATCCCAATTATACTGTATGGTCAGAATGACTTTACATTCAACTTCACAAATCAGACTCTCTCTAATTGGCATTGTTTTGGGGTATTGGGAGCTATACTCCCCAGATTCTGTGGTCAAATAATGAGAGATAACTTAGCTCAACTGCATCTTGAAGTCTGATGCTCAAAATGGAGGTGTAGAATATTTTTCATGTTGAAAGATATCATGAAATCAGGTTATCACGAACACTGATTTCACCTGGTATACTCTTACCACGATGGTATTCCAACGGGTATGGAGTGATGATGGCAGCTATAAAAAGCATTCAAGGTATTCAAATTTGGCTTATACACTGCTCTTAATGTATTCCTCAACTCTTCTAATAGCAAGCCACTGAAAAAACGAGTCATCGATCACCGACGCTCCCCACAGAAATATCATGCAACGTAGCTTCTACAAGACTATGACACTATGTGCTCTGACAGCTATTCAGGCATGCAGATATACAGTCCCAGAGGCGGCAGCACCGAAAAAAGCTTCTGCTCGCTGAAAGGTATCTTTGCCATTCGGAAATTACGGTGACTTATGCTGACATGCTTATGTGATAGGTCTACAGAGAAGGTCTCATATCTTCCTGCACCGTCTCGTGTGTCGTCCACCCACTTGCTGCGAGTACACGACAGCCCCAAGGTCAATGGGGGGGAGGCCCGACCGGCCAGTGATGCAGAGGAAGAATCTATCGCGGCTCTGGCCCAATCGGTCCAGCATCTCACCTTTGGCAGGCCCAGGCCTTATCCGGAGGATCCTTCGGCAAGGGCGCCAGAGATTGATCTTCCTTTCGGGTGTGACACCATTGTCAGCTGAGCAGAATCTGAGTCTGCGAGCCGGCAAAAAAAGTTGAAACTCACTCGGACACAGCAATGTCAGCTCAATGTTGCAGAGCTCAACGTTAAAGAGCTCACTATTCCCACTCCTGCTGAGCACCGTGGCTGGTCTAGCCCTCCCAAGCCCTATAATGTTCAATATCTTGGAGAGGCATCCTTGGCGCGGATCGTCGCCTGGAGATCAACTGTCACTCCACCCCCTGTGCAAGTCCGGCCTGTGCAACGCATACGCCCAGTTTTTCTTGATCAAGCTCAGTGGGCCGCCCGCGACCCACATCTCCTTCAGCTCGAACGTGCAGCCAAGATTCATGGTATTCGGATGGTGTGTGAGTTTGGGCGCCCATTCCATGCTGAATTGCTTCAGCGTGAATTGGAGGAGGAGAACGTAAAGCACAAATGATGTTCTGTTCACTTGTTAGTTGAATCGGATTCGCAAGCGTACCTTGCTGACAACTTGAGCTTGACCGATTTTTTTTTCGTCTCGACAACAATGCCTGCGGTGCCATGGACAACAACAACCCAACGCGAGCTCCTTGAATCAGAGCTCCTCGGCTTCCAGGAGCACCAGGCCTCTCGGAGCACTAGTGTCTTCTGGCCCAAGCTTCACAAGAAATGGTATGAAGCATTTCCCGAGGAACGGTACATGAGCCCACCACTGCCCTATGGTCCTGAAGCTCGCGAGCTCACGCTGGAGGAGAAGGAGAAACTAGCAGTTGCCATTCTCAAGCGGAATGGGGTATGTTTCTCTGATTGCTCATTCAGTCAAGTCTAACTGTTTATTAGCAGCTCTAGGGTGCTGTGAGTAACTCTGGTTTCAAAACGGTTTCAAAACCGGTTTCGAAACACGTGTGAGTTTTGAAAGCCGCGGCCAGCTGACCCGGTTTCGAAACCGACACATGATGCTCCGGGGAGCCCGGGCCCGGCTGTCAGGGCTTGATACCCTCCCAATATCACCTGCACTTACTGGCGGCAGGCCGGGCAGATGGGTTTTCACGGCAGTGGGGCTCCCCTGCTGCTCCAGTTGGGCTTGGCGCATAGTGTGCCTCGGGATTGTGATACCCGGCGCTGTCCCGAGCTGCCGACTGCCAGCGGACCCCCCCGGCCGGCCGGTTTCGAAACTGTTTCGAAACGGGGGGTGTTTCGAAACCGGTTTCGAAACCAGTGTGAGTAATGTTTTTTGCATTACTCACAGCACCCTAAGCAGCTCAGCAGCTGGTATCTCCGCGAAAGCAAGGAAAAAACGTGGCGTAACACGTACCGGTGTCCGCGGCGGCGCAACCGCGAGTACAGGAGCAAGTGGCAGAGTAGCCTCAACAGTAACCAAGGCTTTTGTTAAACGGATTCAAAAAACAAAGGTGTGTTGTGCATATTTGCTTGCTATATCGACTGAGAAACGACCACGACCAGGGCCGAATTCACCACGAGACCGAGGTATTTGCACGGCTCTTCCCCGATAGAATCAAAGCAGAAATGCTGCGCCGTGGTTGGTCGGACCTGAACGAAGCGGCCCATTATGATCAGCGCGGAAAGGACGACGAGCCTGAGACAAACGAAGAACGACAAACGCAAGTGAAGGCCCTGCAGTCGGCGCGGATGAAGCTCCAGCGAAGTGTTCGAGATGAATTGTGGAGCAAGGCATCAGTGGAGGAACAAGCAAAGGTCAAAGCGGAGATTGCAGCAGAGCAGGAGAAGAAAAAGCTCAGTCTTGAGAAGGACGAGACAGAGGGAATGACTCCAGAGGACTATCAACGGTAAGTTTATCTCAATGGATTGCGTAGCATAACTCAAGTCTAGTAGGGGGTGTCGATGGCGTCGAAGGAATTATCCTCCATACCGGTGAAACCATTGAACATCTCGCTGGGTGGGCAGGCATGACGATTACGGGGGGTCCTATGCCAGGCATGGGTGGGCGGATTGCTGTCAAGATGTATGTGTGACCGTCTTCTCTTGTCTCCCCCACTCACGATAACCTGGCAGCAGCTGCTGGGGCGAAACAGACGGCGGCAAAAACTTCCGTCAATCCCACCCGAAGTTCGCGGAGGCCATTGAGGGTCCGTTCAATGCATTCTTACAACGGTTATTTTGTGCGTGGTCATTTTTTTCTCAATTTTCTCCCTCTCACATCTTGTTCCAGCGGAAGAGGAGCGCAAACGACGAGCAATTCTCACTGAAGATACGACAACCGATCGGGAGGAACAGGACGACAGCGACGACGAGCACGTTGTCTTGCCCAAGCCACGTCGAATCCGTCGCAAAGCCAAGGACCTACCCACTCTCCCTTCCGTCGTTCTGCCAACCCCCGCCCATGTACCACCACCAGCACATGTTTTCTCTCCTGCCTCGACACACTTCAGGGAGCCATGTCCTCCTCCTCGTCCATTACCACCCGCAAGTCAGCCGGCAATAGCTGCTTTATCGATAGGCCCGTTAACGGCGCCATTTGCCCTCGACCCCGATTTCGCGCGCTGGATTACGGACCTCCTCCGCCAAGCGGCAGCGTCGTAGATCTGTCGACAGCTCCCTTCTCTGCTGGGGACCTCGAATTTCCCAGCGAGCAGGCTGGTTTGGGCGCCTCTGTGAATGCGAGACACTTGGATATGGGACTGGGACCGGCGTTTCCAGGATATGGAAGTGGCTGGGACTGGAGTTTCCGGGTGCGAGTGGCCTGCTACCCATGCCCGCACTCCCTAGTTGGCCCAACAGCACCTTCTCGGAGCCTGAGACAGCCGCTGACCGCTTCCGCAACCTGCTGCCACGACTCACACCATACACTGACAGCCCGCCAACACCGTCTTCCCCCCTTCCCCTCAATTTGTTCCCCTCGACAACAACTATTGGCCATGCGGCCTTGGCGTTGCCAAGCCACGGCGGGCGAACGGGATCACCGATTCGGACTACAAACCCATTCTCCGCCACGTTGCACATGGCAACGGAAACTCGGGGCTTGGCTGTACCGGGCCCTACTCTCCTCGTACCCCTTCCTCCCTCCTCTACGACCCTGACTGCTGGCCAAGTGATCTGCGAAACGTCGAGCCGCGGCGCGCTGACCGAGACAACGAACCTCCCTGTCTCATCCGACACAATACCCGAGAGCTCGGCAGCGGAAACCTCGGTCTTGGGCTCTGAGGCGGGCGTTTCAGGCACAGGTGCGGCTGGGAACGGCCCAGCTGCTGGAGGAGGAGGAGAGACACGGAACGGCGCTGGATCTTCCAGCAACGGTGCCACGGCCACTGTATCCGGAAAGCGCGATAGGAAAACAAGCCAGCGAGTCGAGTTTATCGAAAAATGGGGGTTGGCCGCAACAAAGCGCAAGTCCACCCTGACAACGACGGAAGGCACAGCCAGGAAACGGTATGTAGTTTGTTTTGTCTCTATAATGTGTGCACACTGACAGAATGGGTACTAGAGCGAGAAAATCCTGAGCCCCATATTTATGTTGTCATTGACATTAGATATACACATGTCCTAAGCCGCCTCCTGCACTCCGATAAGTCCGATGGGCA